CACCCAGATGTCCACAGCCGAGTATAACCTCCCCCTCCCCCCCAAAACTTTCAAATTTAAGGCAGCAGTATCCAAAGGAATGTACAACTAGAAGGAAACTTATGTTACGGGACACCTCCAACACGTACCTACCCATCTTAGGCAAAGATCCAGCTCCCACTGAATTCGATAGTTTTATCGGTCCCTTAAGCAGCCACTTTAAGTACAACTCCAGTGCAATTTTGTTCAGCATTTAGATAGCCTCTCCTACTGGGTTATGGTTAAGTGGGACCTCGACTCACCAAAATTTCACTGCCACCAGACAGACACTTCTAACAAACCTAATTCCTAACCCCTCCAGTTCATAATCCTTAAAGACAGATGCTGACTCCCATTTCCAGCTAGATTTTCCATGTCTTTCTCCCTCGCTAGTCTTTGATCTGCTACCCATGAAGTGAGGCAGTCCAGTTAGTCCAAGCCCATTTCTGTTGATCTACTTGTGACTCACTGATGAATGTCCCCCTTCTGATTATGACACAGATCCCAAGGATCCTAGATGAATCTCTGACCATCCCATCTACTAGGCAATTGATTTTTGCTGTTCCCTTAGGTTGTCACTTATCACTAGAATGTTTGAGTGGTAGGAAGGAGAAAATATGTGGCTATGTTGTTTAAGCCTTCAAAAAAATAGTTTGAGATATTACCCAAACCCTGAAAGGAAGAGTGCGAGGTTGCAATACCCACCTTATGGCAGCCAGGGTAGGTTGCCATGGTGCTAAGAGTGGGGATGCTGGGATTCTTGCTGGTGCTGGCCATGATGTTTTGGATCTGGGTAAGCTCTTGCCTCAGTACCTGCTTCTGGTGGAAGCTAAATGCAGGGTGGTTGGACGCCATAGTGAAGAGCAAGAGAAATTCATCCCCAGTGCGGCCCTCGTTGAGCTGCAGCCCATAGTTGTTGATGACAGAATCAATGTGGGTAAGTGTGCGGAAGAGGACTCCAGCTGCCTCTCGGTGTGCAGACCCCAACAAGGCAAGGGATACCAGCAGTTTGCTACGTACCACCTCATCTGTCAAGTTAGTGAGGCTACCCAAGTCAGCAGGGTTGTTGGCCTTGATTTCAGAGTCACGTAGGGAGTGATAGTCCTTGCGGGCCAAGTCCTCTAAGCAGGCACCTAGAAAGCGCAGTTCAAGTGGGATGCACAGGTCCAGGAGGCCACAGAGAAATTCCACTCGCTGCGGGGAGGGCAGTTCTGAGAACCAGCGGTACACACTGTCCCTCTGCAGCCGTGGGCATCGCTTCTCTACCATGTTGCTCCTGCAGCTACCACCACCTCCACCAGTGCTGGTGCCCCCCCGGGAACAGGGGAGATACACACTGGGGAGTGAAGGAAAGTGCCCAAACAAAAGGGAGGGAAGCGGGGGAATGGGACCCTGAGAGGTAAGTGCCCAGATACAAGAAGGGGGCACCCTAAGAGCAATACACACTGGGTCCCAAACAGTAAAAATCCAGGAAAATCAGGGACCTCACATTAGGGGTGAGATACAGATGGGGGGGATGCAGAGACACACAGGGACCTTGGAGGAGGGGTTGCTGATGGGGGGGGGGGGGACACGCAGGGATCCCGGGGGGCGGGGGAGAGGAGGCTTCCAGTGGTGGGGATGAGGAGACACGCAAGGACCCTGGTAGGGAGGGGCAGGAGGACCCCAGAGAAGGGTTTCCAATGGAGCGATGAGATGACACGCAGGGACCCCAAGGAGGGGTTACCGATGGGGATGTGGGGACATGCAGGGACCCTGCGGATTAGTGATGGAGGATGACAGGACACACAGGGAACCAGGACGGGGTTAGTGATGCGGGGGGGAGCTGACGGGACACGCGGGGGCCCGGGAGGGGGTTAGTGATGTGGGGGGGGAGCTGACGGGACACCCGGGGGCCCGGGAGGGGGTTAGTGATGGGGGGGGGAGCTGACGGGACACCCGGGGGCCCGGGAGGGGGTTAGTGATGGGGGGGAGCTGACGGGACACCCGGGGGCCCGGGAGGGGGTTAGTGATGGGGGGAGCTGACGGGACACCCGGGGGCCCGGGAGGGGGTCAGTGATGGGAGGGGGGAGATGACGGGACACGCGGGGGCCCGGGAGGGGGTCAGTGATGGGGGGGAGATGACGGGACACCCGGGGGCCCGGGAGGGGGTTAGTGATGGGGGGAGATGACGGGACACCCGGGGGGGCCAGGAGGGGGTCAGTGATGGGGGGAGATGACGGGACACGCGGGGGGCCTAGGAGGGGGTCAGTGGGGGGGGAGATGACGGGACACGCGGGGGGCCTAGAGGGATTTAGTGATGGAGGGGAGATGACGGGACACGCGGGGGCCCGGGAGGGGGTCAGTGATGGGGGGGAGATGACGGGACACGCGGGGGCCCGGGAGGGGGTCAGTGATGGGGGGAGATGACGGGACACGCGGGGGCCCAGGAGCGGGTCAGTGATGGGGGGGAGATGACGGGACACGCGGGGGCCCGGGAGGGGGTCAGTGATGGGGGGAGATGACGGGACACGCGGGGGGCCTAGAGGGGGTCAGTGGGGGGGGGGGGAGACGACGGGACACGCGGTGGGCCTAGAGGGATTTAGTGATGGGGGGGAGATGACGGGACACGCGGGGGCCCGCGAGGGGATCAGTGATGGGGGGGAGATGACGGGACACCCGGGGGCCCGGGAGGGGGTCAGTGATGGGGGGGGAAGATGACGGGACACGCGGGGGCCCGGGAGCGGGTCAGTGATGGGGGGGAAGATGACGGGACACGCAGGGGGCCCGGGAGCGGGTCAGTGATGGGGGGGGAAGATGACGGGACACGCAGGGGCCCGGGAGCGGGTCAGTGATGGGGGGGGGAAGATGACGGGACACGCAGGGGCCCGGGAGGGGGTCAGTGGGGGGGGAGATGATGGGACACGCGGGGGCCCGGGAGGGGGTCAGTGAGGGGGGGGGAGATGACGGGACACGCGGTGGCCCGGGAGATGGTCAGTGAAGGGGGGGGGAGAAGACGGGACACGCGGGGGCCCGGGAGGGGGTCAGTGAAGGGGGGGGAGATGACGGGACACGCGGGGGCCCGAGAGGGGGTCAGTGAAGGGGGGGAGAAGACGGGACACGCGGGGGCCCGGGAGGGGGTCAGTGAAGGGGGGGGAGAAGACGGGACACGCGGGGGCCCGGGAGGGGGTCAGTGGGGGGGGGGAAGATGACGGGACACGCGGGGGCCCGGGAGGGGGTCAGTGAAGGGGGGGAGATGACGGGACACGCGGGGGCCCGGGAGGGGGTCAGTGGGGGGGGGGAGATGACGGGACACGCGGGGGCCCGGGAGAAGGGGTCAGTGGGGGGGGGAAGATGACGGGACACGCCGGGGCCCGGGAGGGGGTCAGTGAAGGGGGGGTAGATGACGGGACACGCGGGGGCCCGGGAGGGGGTCAGTGAAGGGGGGGGAGATGACGGGACACGCGGGGGCCCGGGAGGGGGTCAAGGGGGGACAGCGGTCCGGGGCGACGCGGCACCAGGGACCCCGGGACCCCAGGGCGCCGGCAGCCGGGTGAGGCCGGGCTCCGCGGGCCGAGGAAGCGGGGCACGCTGCCCTCTCGCTCCCCGCGGCCGGGCGGGGGAGCAGGCCCGAGGGGCCGGGGAGCTGATGGGGCAGGCCGGGGATGCCGGGCCAGGCCCCCGGGTATCAGCGGGCGCAGGGCAGCGCCGCGTCCCTGCCCCGGGCGGCTCGGCAGAACCAGGTCCCAGGGCCGCTCCCCTCACGGGGCGGCTCCTTCCCTCCGCTTCAGCCCCGCTCGCTCCATCCTCCGCCGGCCTCCCAGGAGCCCCGCGCCCCCTCCGCGAGCCTGTTCCTCCGGCTGGGCCCCGCGCCGGCTCGCCTCCCGCTGGCTCTCCGCGGCTGACGAGCGCCGCCCGAGCCCGGCCGCCCCCGCCGGCTTCAACCGCCACCGGAGAGCCCGAGCCGCCACCACCGCGACAAATAATCCCCGCCGGAGGCAGCGAGCGGAGCGGAGGCACAGGCACTGTGTGTGAAAGTGAACGGCCGGCGGAGGAATCCCAAGCCCCGATCGGGAGGGAGGAGGCCGGAACTCACTCCCCCTCCCCACTCACTCGCGGCCCACCCCTCCGCGATGCCCCGCCCTCTTTTCCCTCCCTCCGCCCACTGACTGACCGGCCTGGCTACGATTGGCTCCTCCCTCCTGGCTGCCAACCTCCCGAGGGCGGGGGCCGCCTTGGGAGGCCGGGATGTCAATCAAGCGTCTTAGTCCCGCCCACCGCTGGATGACTGGCCAAGAGCGACAGGGGCGGGGCGAAGTAGGAGGTAACAGCGTGTGGCTGCTTCTTTGCCTGCCCCGCGCGTGCAGCCTGGGAGCGGGGCGGGGCTGGCTGCTGGGGACGGGGCCAGGCTGGCTCGGGGGACAGCTGGGACCGGGGGGCCAGGCTAGCTCGCGGGGGGGCTTCTGAGGCCGGGGGGGGCAGGCTGGCTGGCTGGGGGGGGCAGGCTGGCTCGGGGGGGGTCTGCTGGGAGCGGGGGGGGCAGGCTGGCTGGGGGGGCTGCTGGGACCGGGGGGGGTCTGCTGGGACCGGGGGGGGCAGGCTGGCTGGCTGGGGGGGGGTCTGCTGGGAGCGGGGGGGCAGGCTGGCGGGGGGGGGCTGCTGGGAGCGGGGGGGGCAGGCTGGCTGGCTCGGGGGGGGGGTCTGCTGGGACCGGGGGGGGCAGGCTGGCTCGGGGGGGGGGGGGGTCTGCTGGGACCGGGGGGGGAGGCTGGCTCGGGGGGGGGTCTGCTGGGACCGGGGAGGGATGCTGGCTCGGGGGGGGTCTGCTGGGACCGGGGGGGGACAGGCTGGCTCGGGGGGGGGGTCTGCTGGGACCGAGGGGGGCAGGCTGACTCGGTGGGGGTCTACTGGGACCGGGGGGTGAGGCTGGCTCGGGGGGTTTGCTGCGGCCGGGGGAGGCCAGGCTGGTTCGGGCGGGGGGGAGGAATTTGGGCTTGCGGAAGGCAGCCCTGTCTGGATCCCTGTCTCTCTCGGGGATCTGGGGCAAGGGGCTGCCCCGCTGGAGGGCCTGGCCCTGGGCTGGTGCTGCACAGCAGAAGCCCGTTGTCTTGGGGGAGGCGGCGAGCCAAGGCGCCCTGGCCGGCCCCGCTCTGCAGGCTGGCTGTGGAGCTGGGAGCATGTGGCTTTTCACAGGTGGCTGCTCCCCTTCAATAAATGCAAAGGAAACAGGGCTGCTGCTGCGTCCAACTCAAATCCCGTGCAGTCCAGCATCGGCTCAGGAGAGGGTTTGCTGCAGGAGTGGATTTTCATGGCATGGAGCTGTTCAATATTAGTGTTGTCTTTTTAATCTAGTGTCAGCTGGCCCTGTAGTGGGCTATAACTCCCGCTGTACATCATCTCCCAAAACGATGCCTCCTTTTCTTTCTTTGTTTTTTGAGGGGAGTCTTCTCTTATTGTCAGTTAAGCTGAAAAAGTCTCTTTCTGACATTTCCTTATCTCCTGAACATTGGAGTAGACGGCGTCTTTCAGTTTCAATATTTTCTGTGGTGTATGGATTGGGAAGTCATTCCCTGGGTTTCTAACTCTGTCTTATCTCCTCTTATTTCTGACAAGGGGGGCATCCAGCAGCATGGAAAATAGTGTGGTTCTGCAAAGGAGTTAGAGGGAGGGTACGGTTATGGGGCACCATTTCTTTGTAGTTGCCTACGTGCTTTATTTGTTTTAGATAGCAAGGATTGGCCCTGCTTTGAGCAGGGGGTTGGATTAGATGACCTCCTGAGGTCCCTTCCAACCCTGATATTCTAGGTGTGGAGAAATATACAAAGTTCAAAGCATATATGGAACAGGTGAGATCAGAAAGATAGCACAGCATGAACTCGTAAATGAAATAAAGCTACTGCCATTAATGTTAACCTTGACAACATCTCTACCAGATTAGCCAGCTCTCCATGGTCAAAGACATTTTGGCATTTGATCCTGGCGTGTCTTTAAATGTAGTGTGAAAACATAACTGACAGTGAAGCCCTCGTATAGTGATAATTTCTGCGCCCCCCCCCCCCTTCCCTCCACAAACAACTTCATTCTGAACTGCGGTTCCCTGTCTTGGTGACTTAAATGTGTATGTTACAGATTTTGAAACAATTTGAGATTTCAGAGCTGGATTTACCTGTGGGTTTTATGGACAACATCGAGCAGCCAAGAGAGACATAATATTTTGATGATGCTTTTCCATGTAGCTTAATTATGTGTTTTGTGATGTGATCAATTAGGTAAGTATAGGGGTGATGATGCACTTTTTTTTTTTACTTCTTGCAGGCCAGGAACCAGCATCTTTATTCTTGGCCCAAGGTAAGAGTAAGGGTTTTCCATCACTGATTCTTATACATTATGATCTCGTTGGATCAGGGACCTTGTCTTTATTTGTCTCTTAGGGTATGTCTACACTACGGAATAAGGTCGAATTTATAGAAGTCGGTTTTTTAGAAATCGGTTTTATATATTCGAGTGTGTGTCCCCCCACAGAAAATGCTCTAAGTGCATTAAGTGCATTAACTCGGCGGAGCGCTTCCACAGTACCGAGGCTAGAGTCGACTTCTGGAGCGTTGCACTGTGGGTAGCTATCCCACAGTTCCCGCAGTCTCCGCTGCCCATTGGAATTCTGGGTTGAGATCCCAATGCCTGATGGGGCTAAAACATTGTCGCGGGTGGTTCTGGGTACATATCGTCAGGCCCCCGTTCCCTCCCTCCCTCCGTGAAAGCAAGGGCAGACAATCATTTCGCGCCTTTTTTCCTGAGTTACCTGTGCAGACGCCATACCACGGCAAGCATGGAGCCCGCTCAGGTAACCGTCAGCCTATGTCTCCTGGGTGCTGGCAGACGCGGTACGGCATTGCTACACAGTAGCAGCAACCCCTTGCCTTGTGGCAGCAGACGGTACAGTACGACTGGTAGCCGTCATCGTCCTGTCCGAGGTGCTCCTGGCCACGTCGGCTGGGAGCGCCTGGGCAGACATGGGTGCAGGGACTAAATTTGGAGTGACTTGACCAGGTCATTCTCTTTAGTCCTGCCTGCAGTCAGTCCTATTGAACCGTCTTATGGTGAGCGGGCAGGCGATACGGACTGCTAGCAGTCGTACTGTACCATCTTCTGCCGAGCAGCCATGAGATGTGGATGGCATGCAGTCCTTCTGCACCGTCTGCTGCCAGCCAAAGATGTAAAAGATAGATGGAGTGGATCAAAACAAGAAATAGACCAGATTTGTTTTGTACTCATTTGCTTCCCCCCCTCCCCTGTCTAGGGGACTCATTCTTCTAGATCACACTGCAGTCACTCACAGAGAAGGTGCAGCGAGGTAAATCTAGCCATGTATCAATCAGAGGCCAGGCTAACCTTCTTGTTCCAATAAGGACAATAACTTAGGTGCACCATTTCTTATTGGAACCCTCCGTGAAGTCCTGCCTGAAATACTCCTTGATGTAAAGCCACCCCATTTGTTGATTTTAGCTCCCTGAAGCCAACCCTGTAAGCCGTGTCGTCAGTCGCCCCTCCCTCCGTCAGAGCAACGGCAGACAATCGTTCCGCGCCTTTTTTCTGTGCGGACGCCATACCAAGGCAAGCATGGAGGCCGCTCAGCTCACTTTGGCAATTAGGAGCACATTAAACACCACACGCATTATCCAGCAGTATATGCAGCACCAGAACCTGGCAAAGCGATACCGGGCGAGGAGGCGACGTCAGCGCGGTCACGTGAGTGATCAGGACATGGACACAGATTTCTCTGAAAGCATAGGCCCTGCCAATGCATGCATCATAGTGCTAATGGGGCAGGTTCATGCTGTGGAACGCCGATTCTGGGCTCGGGAAACAAGCACAGACTGGTGGGACCGCATAGTGTTGCAGGTCTGGGACGATTCCCAGTGGCTGCGAAACTTTCGCATGCGTAAGGGCACTTTCATGGAACTTTGTGACTTGCTTTCCCCTGCCCTGAGGCGCATGAATACCAAGATGAGAGCAGCTCTCACAGTTGAGAAGCGAGTGGCGATAGCCCTGTGGAAGCTTGCAACGCCAGACAGCTACCAGTCAGTTGGGAATCAATTTGGAGTGGGCAAATCTACTGTGGGGGCTGCTGTGATGCAAGTAGCCCACGCAATCAAAGATCTGCTGATATCAAGGGTAGTGACCCTGGGAAATGTGCAGGTCATAGTGGATGGCTTTGCTGCAATGGGATTCCCTAACTGTGGTGGGGCTATAGACGGAACCCATATCCCTATCTTGGCACCGGAGCACCAAGCCGCCGAGTACATAAACCGCAAGGGGTACTTTTCGATAGTGCTGCAAGCTCTGGTGGATCACAAGGGACGTTTCACCAACATCAACGTGGGATGGCCGGGAAAGGTGCATGATGCTCGCATCTTCAGGAACTCTGGTCTGTTTCAAAAGCTGCAGGAAGGGACTTTATTCCCAGACCAGAAAATAACTGTTGGGGATGTTGAGATGCCTATATGTATCCTTGGGGACCCAGCCTACCCCTTAATGCCATGGCTCATGAAGCTGTACACAGGCAGCCTGGACAGTAGTCAGGAGCTGTTCAACTACAGGCTGAGCAAGTGCAGAATGGTGGTCGAATGTGCATTTGGACGTTTAAAGGCGCGCTGGCGCAGTTTACTGACTCGCTTAGACCTCAGCGAAACCAATATTCCCACTGTTATTACTGCTTGCTGTGTGCTCCACAATATCTGTGAGAGTAAGGGGGAGACGTTTATGGCGGGGTGCGAGGTTGAGGCAAATCGCCTGGCTGCTGGTTACGCGCAGCCAGACACCAGGGCGGTTAGAAGAGCACAGGAGGGCGCGGTACGCATCAGAGAAGCTTTGAAAACCAGTTTCATGACTGGCCAGGCTACGGTGTGAAAGTTCTGTTTGTTTCTCCTTGATGAAACCCCCCGCCCCTTGGTTCACTCTACTTCCCTGTAAGCTAACCACCCTCCCCTCCTCCCTTCAATCACCGCTTGCAGAGGCAATAAAGTCATTGTTGCTTCACATTCATGCATTCTTTATTCATTCATCACACAAACAGGGAGATGACTACCAAGGTAGCCCAGGAGGGGTGGTGGAGGAGGGAAGGAAAATGCCACACAGCACTTTAAGCACAGCACTTTAAAAGTTTACAACTTTAAAATTTATTGAATGACATTCTTCTTTTTTTTGGGCAATCCTCTGTGGTGGAGTGGCTGGTTGGCCGGAGGCCCTCCCACCGTGTTCTTGGGCGTCTGGGTGTGGAGGCTATGGAACTTGGGGAGGAGGGCGGTTGGTTACAGAGGGGCAGCAGTGGCAGTCTGTGCTCCAGCTGCCTTTGCTGCAGCTCAACCATACACTGGAGCATACTGGTTTGGTCCTGCAGCAGCCTCAGCATTGAATCCTGCCTCCTCTCATCACGCTGCCGCCACATTTGAGCTTCAGCCCTGTCTTCAGCCCGCCACTTACTCTCTTCAGCCCGCCACCTCTCCTCCCGGTCATTTTGTGCTTTCCTGCACTCTGACATTATTTGCCTCCACGCATTCGTCTGTGCTCTGTCAGTGTGGGAGGACAGCATGAGCTCGGAGAACATTTCATCGCGAGTGCGTTTTTTTTTCTTTCTAAGCTTCACTAGCCTCTGGGAAGGAGAAGATCCTGTGATCATTGAAACACATGCAGCTGGTGGAGAAAAAAAAAGGGACAGCGGTATTTAAAAAGACACATTTTACAAAACAGTGGCTACACTCTTTCAGGGTAAACCTTGCTGTTAACATTACATACATAGCACATGTGCTTTCGTTACAAGGTCGCATTTTGCCTCCTCCCACCGCGTGACTACCCCCTCAACCTTCCCCCTCCCTGTGGCTAACAGCGGGGAACATTTCTGTTTAGCCACAGGCAAACAGCCCAGCAGGAATGGGCTCCTCTGAGTGTCCCCTGAAGAAAAGCACTCTATTTCAACCAGGTGACCATGAATTATATCTCACTCTCCTGAGGATAACACAGAGAGATAAAGAACGGATGTTGTTTGAATGCCAGCAAACATACACTGCAATGCTGTGTTCTACAATGATTCCCGAGTACGTGTTACTGGCCTGGAGTGGTAAAGTGTCCTACCATGAAGGACGCAATAAGGCTGCCCTCCCCAGAAACCTTTTGCAAAGGCTTTAGGACTACATCTAGGAGAACCGCAAATGCCAGGGCAAAGTAATCCTTTCACATGCTTCCTTTTAAACCATGTATAGTATTTTAAAAGGTACACTCACCAGAGGTCCCTTCTCCGCCTGCTGGGTCCAGGAGGCAGCCTTGGGTGGGTTCGGGGGGTACTGGCTCCAGGTCTAGGGTGAGAAACAGTTCCTGGCTGTCGGGAAAACCGGTTTCTCCGCTTGCTTGCTGTGAGCTATCTACAACCTCCTCCTCATCATCATCTTCTTCGTCCCCAAAACCTGCTTCCGTATTGCCTCCATCTCCATTGAAGGAGTCAAACAACATGGCTGGGGTAGTGGTGGCTGAACCCCCTAAAATGGCATGCAGCTCATCATAGAAGCGACATGTTTGGGGCTCTGACCCAGAGCGGCTGTTCGCCTCTCTGGTTTTCTGGTAGGCTTGCCTCAGCTCCTTCAGTTTCACGCGGCACTGCTTCGGGTCCCTGTTATGGCCTCTGTCCTTCATGCCCTGGGAGATTTTCACAAAGGTTTTGGCATTTCGAAAACTGGAACGGAGTTCTGATAGCACGGATTCCTCTCCCCAAACAGCGATCAGATCCCGTACCTCCCGTTCGGTCCATGCTGGAGCTCTTTTGTGATTCTGGGACTCCATCATGGTCACCTGTGCTGATGAGCTCTGCATGGTCACCTGCAGCTTGCCACGCTGGCCAAACAGGAAATGAGATTCAAAAGTTCGCGGTTCTTTTCCTGTCTACCTGGCCAGTGCATCTGAGTTGAGAGTGCTGTCCAGAGCGGTCACAATAGAGCACTCTGGGATAGCTCCCGGAGGCCAATACCATCGAATTGTCTCCACAGTACCCCAAATTTGAGCCGGCAACATCGATTTAAGCGCTAATCCACTTGTCAGGGGTGGAGTAAGGAAATCGATTTTAAGAGCCCTTTAAGTCGAAATAAAGGGCTTCATTGTGTGGACGGATGCAGGTTTACATCGATTTAACGCTGCTAAATTCGACCTAAAGTCCTAGTGTAGACCAGGGCTAAATGGAAGAGTAAGAACTGCTATACTGGTGGGGAGCTCAGTAGAAAAGAGATGAAGTGCTGTCTTCCCCGAGGAAGGTGTGTGCTGCTTCTGTAGCATTCCCAATCCCTAGAACAATGAGAGGAATACTTGCCCTTGGACCGACACACTTAAGCCTTTTAAGCACCTAATAGATGATGGAGAAAAGCCTCTCGCCTGATCTAAAGTCAATGAGAGTCTTCTTTGACTTTTAGAGTAGCAGCCGTGTTAGTCTGTATCCGCAAAAAGAAAAGGAGGACTTGTGGCACCTTAGACTAACAAATTTATTTGAGCATAAGCTTTCATGAGCTACAGCTCACTTCATCAGATGCAACCGAAAGCTTATGCTCAAATAAATAAATTTGTTAGTCTCTAAGGTGCCACAAGGACTCCTTTTCTTCTTTGACTTTAGGGCTTTGGATGAGGCCCTAAAAAACTAAAAGGAATTCTGTTGTAGCAGAAACATGGTACCAAGAATCCATGGCTGGCCTATGAGAAAATGCAAAGAACCACACCGAGAGAGAGAAATCATAGTTATAACAATTCATATTACAACTTGCACAAGAGAACAGGCGGCAGGCTAAAGGTCATTCAGAGGAGCAAATGGTCTGTGTATGTATGAGGGGGAGGGGGTTTCTTTGTGAAAGCTGAGTTCTCTAGATGCCAAAACCATATTTTTCCAGACTGTCCTATTTCCTGCATTCTCTCTCTTGCCCAATGTTAATTATCTGGATGATGAGTGTGCATGTTTGGAAGGCACAGCTTGGATGGTTTTATTGCAATAGGTTTCAGAGTAGCAGCCGTGTTAGTCTGTATCCACAAAAAGAAAAGGAGGACTTGTGGCACCTTAGACACTAACCAATTTATTTGAGCATAAGCTTTCGTGAGCTACAGCTCACTTCATCGGTTTCTCTCTTCATCAGATACAACCGATGAAGTGAGCTATAGCTCACGAAAGCTTATGCTCAAATAAATTGGTTAGTCTCTAAGGTGCCACAAGTCCTCCTTTTCTTTTTATTGGAGTAGTCAATAAACAGTAACTAAACTAAAAGATAGTTCTCTCTCATCTTGTTGTCAACATACTCATAATCTGTGACTATATTTATATTAAAATAGTACCCAGAGCTCACAAACAGGATTGGGGCCCCATGGTGCGTGGTGCTATGAAACATATGAAAACATGGTCCCTATGACCTGGTACCAGTTCCTGCCAAGGCCCCAGTCCTGACTCTGTACTGACAAACACATAGCTGGAAACCAGTTTGGCTCACCTGTGTGTTAGTATTGTTAAAATAGATATTAGAGTTATAAGAATCATAGAATCATAGAATATCAGGGTTGGAAGGGACCCCTGAAGGTCATCTAGTCCAACCCCCTGCTCGAAGCAGGACCAATTCCCAGTTAAATCATCCCAGCCAGGGCTTTGTCAAGCCTGACCTTAAAAACCTCTAAGGAAGGAGATTCTACCACCTCCCTAGGTAACGCATTCCAGTGTTTCACCACCCTCTTAGTGAAAAAGTTTTTCCTAATATCCAATCTAAACCTCCCCCACTGCAGCTTGAGACCATTACTCCTCGTTCTGTCATCTGCTACCATTGAGAACAGTCCAGAGCCATCCTCTTTGGAACCCCCTTTCAGGTAGTTGAAAGCAGCTATCAAATCCCCTCTCATTCTTCTCTTCTGCAGACTAAAGAATCCCAGTTCCCTCAGCCTCTCCTCATAAGTCATGTGTTCCAGACCCCTAATCATTTTTGTTGCCCTTCGCTGGACTCTTTCCAATTTTTCCACATCCTTCTTGTAGTGTGGGGCCCAAAACTGGACACAGTACTCCAGATGAGGCCTCACCAATGTCGAATAGAGGGGGACGATCACGTCCCTCGATCTGCTCGCTATGCCCCTACTTATACATCCCAAAATGCCATTGGCCTTCTTGGCAACAAGGGCACACTGCTGACTCATATCCAGCTTCTTGTCCACTGTCACCCCTAGGTCCTTTTCCGCAGAACTGCTGCCTAGCCATTCGGTCCCTAGTCTGTAGCGGTGCATTGGATTCTTCCATCCTAAGTGCAGGACCCTGCACTTATCCTTATTGAACCTCATCAGATTTCTTTTGGCCCAATCCTCCAATTTGTCTAGGTCCTTCTGTATCCTATCCCTCCCCTCCAGCGTATCTACCACTCCTCCTAGTTTAGTATCATCCGCAAATTTGCTGAGAGTGCAATCCACACCATCCTCCAGATCATTTATGAAGATATTGAACAAAACCGGCCCCAGGACCAACCCTTGGGGCACTCCACTTGATACCGGCTGCCAACTAGACATGGAGCCATTGATCACTACCCGTTGAGCCCGACAATCTAGCCAGCTTTCTACCCACCTTATAGTGCATTCATCCAGCCCATACTTCCTTAACTTGCTGACAAGAATACTGTGGGAGACCGTGTCAAAAGCTTTGCTAAAGTCAAGATACAATACATCCACTGCTTTCCCTTCATCCACAGAACCAGTAATCTCATCATAAAAGGCAATTAGATTAGTCAGGCATGACCTTCCCTTGGTGAATCCATGCTGGCTGTTCCTGATCACTTTCCTCTAATGCAAGTGCTTCAGGATTGATTCTTTGAGGACCTGCTCCATGATTTTTCCAGGGACTGAGGTGAGGCTGACTGGCCTGTAGTTCCCTGGATCCTCCTTCTTCTCTTTTTTAAAGATTGGCACTACATTAGCCTTTTTCCAGTCATCCGGGACTTCCCC